GTTTCGATCTGACCTTCTTGATGCTCGACGAACCTGACCCGGAAAAAGACGAGCGAGTATCTGAGCATGTGTTTGACGTTCGTCGCTATAGCTCCTTTTCGTCGTCCTGCCGCAGCTCTGGAAGGCGCGTATTGTCTCAGAGATCAAATTACAATATCACTGCAATGCAGGGGGCACAAGAAGAGCTACCGATCGAAGAGCGCTTGTGTCAAGATAGTCAGAAGTGCGGCTGCTCCAGTGATGACAGCGAGCATCACTTGGTACCAGGACGCATACTGAGGCGGTATATCGCCTTCGCTCGGCAGATGATCCATCCAAAAATAACCGCTTCCGCCTGTAAGGTGCTGCTGAACTTTTTCGAAGAAATGAACACCTCTGATGAGTACCTGCTCGATGACGACCAGCCGATCGGCATCAGGCAGATGGAATCGCTAATTCGACTGGTGCAGGCAAGGGCTAAATGTGAGCTAGCGAATCACATCACGGAGCGCCATGCGCTGGACGTCGTCGAAATCGTGCGCTACTGTATGAACAGAAAAAAATATGCTGCCGCCACAACGAACCCTTTGATGACAGTCAATCGAGGAGGACGTCGTCGTCTGTCTCAACGGGATCAGTTGAACAGATTTCTGTCCGCGCTACGCGTGTTCGCTGAACGCAAAGGAAGTCCCCTTTTTACGTTGTCAGAACTTCAAGAGGTGTCCAACGAAATACAACTCGAAACTCGCCACGGTTTCGACCAATTTCTCGCTTCTCTGAATGACATGGGATTTTTGCTGATCAAAGGATCAAGATGTTTCGAGCTGACTGCCTGATGACATTTATTTGAATTTTTCCTTCATTAGATTTATGTTCGTTTTCTTACGTTGAATCACGATTAAAGTTCGCAATACCTTACTTCCCTTGAGAGTATCCAGTTTAAGTAGCAAAAAATTTCTTTCATCTATCACATGACTACAAATCATTGTGTTTTTTAATGACTAGGAAATTTACAAGAACATGTGTTGAATTACATCAATAAATGGTAAAAACAACACAAAATGCGGTCTATTTATACACAACCCCAGGACGCCTTCTGATTAAGAACATGCGAACCGCTGCGAATGAGAAAATTGACTTCTGAAGCCACGCAGCCTTTCCGCCTTGAAGAAGGGTCGTGAGGCACAGGCCGAAACCTCAGTACAGGTCAGTTACCTGACTCAGCAAATTGTTTCCGTTGTTTATCCACATACGCGTGTTTGTTACTGATTTCGAATACCCGCCATCAGAAAAATTAAGAACCCAATGAAAAAAGAAATTTAGACATATTTTTATGATGGAGCCATTCATTTCAGGAAGTTGCTGGCACGACGATCATACTTGTTCGTATGCCTCCAGCCGGAAGTGCTTACTACTGGACCTCAGTGGCTTTTTCCATTAAATACTGAATTAGTTATTGAAAGAAAAAGCGCTCTAGTCAATTTTTTCTTGATATCTTTATAATTAGCGCGCTAACTGCCATATGACTAACGTTTACAGTAAACCTACACCCAATAGTGATAAATATCGTAACTTTATCTTACAAAATCACGTAAATAAGAAAAAAATGGCGTGGTATTAGGTACAAATGTATTTCTTAAATAAGAAATGGAACATAGAATTTACCCTAGGTAAGAGTAATATTTATCCAGTTAAATTCGCCATTAGTATCATAAATCGTAGAATAACTTTCAATCAACTTGAGTCACAAATAACGTTAAAATTAGTATTCTGAATAACATATCTTACTAAATTCTACCTTAACATAAAAACGTTAGTGGAAAGGTATGAAGAATGCTCAAAACCAAATATAATACTGAGTTGCATGTAAACGGTCTAATATACCTAACATCTTACAAAGCAACTCTGAGAAAATGAACTTAATATTCGTTTTACAAACTGGGGAGTAATTATGGGAAATACTACATACGAGAAGCAAGGAATGCCGTCATCGAAAGGTCAAAGACCCATACATCAATTTAGAGAAGATGAATATTCCGAAGGAGCATTAATGACCTGTGGTAACGAGGTACTCAGCAACAAAACAAATCCCTAGAAAAGTCAATGAACAGTGTAAACAAGTCTCTAAAATTGTGCAGTACGCAGTGCTGCAAGAACACATCCTCTGATGGTCAGAATGCACCGGGCCTCATCATGGAAAGATATAGGCTGACTAGATTCGTCAAGGAGGCGCTAATTACCTGGTCCTGAAAATACGTCAGCCGTGGCAAAGCCTGTAGGAGCTGTATGAGTCTTGTCGCACCGTAGCCACGAATTTACTTAACCGGCAGAAAGACCAAAAGCACGCCATCTTACGAACCGCTAACACAGGCAAATATGGCTTCAATAATCAACCTCTATTCTTTGAAGAAGGTCCATGAAAAAAAGGGCCAAAATGTCTGTAGCGGCTAAAAATCTGGTGAACTAGTAATAAAACAAAAATAAAGATGAAATATTGATCACAACTATAGCTAAATCAGGAAAATCGCAAGACGAACAATTAGACCAAGGCCTAACGACTGAAATGTGCAGCAATTATGTCGTAATCAACAGCTTGTCTTCTCCTATTTACCTAAGAGCGTGTTCCTTGCTTCAGAGCCTTTTCCGCAACTGAAATCAAAATATGCCTGAGAGAAGTACCCGTTTAAGTTTTATTATGTATTCGATGCTACGGCTATATTATACTGAATTTTATCAAACCCTCAACTGTAAAGAACATTGCGCATAACAACTTTACCGCAAAAAACAAAAGAAAGTAAGCATGGAAGGTACAACTGAAGACAAATGCTACAAAACAATATTAAGAACAACCTTCAACCTTTGTGTACTCTGTTAATCTCTGTCAGTGTAACTTGCCGATCTCGAATTTCTTGTACATCTGAGATGCGGTGAAGATCAGCGAGTCGATGATGCCGGCTACTGTAAAGGTGCCGCCAATGATGGCACATATCTGAGAAGAAACACCATCCATTAAACGCACAATTTACAGAGAAAAACGATATACTAACAGACGTGATGAACGCGTAGATCGGTTGCCTTCTTTCATAATAACGAACTGTGATGGGCGTCAGATCGTACCGGAACCAAACGGATGGGAGAACGTACCCTCCCAGACTAACACCTATGTACTCCTAAAAGGGAAAAATACCCGTTGCTAAATGTTGCACGAATCACCAACAAAAACGATCAGAATCGGCAGTCAAAGCAAAACATAACATAACGCATTAATTAGCGTTACAAGCAAAACATTACCATCACGACGTAAGTCAGCAGAAGGAATTTAATACAATGCGCATATCCGATCTAATACGATGAAATCTATTAATTAAATATATGGTAAAGCAGCACATCAGAGAACTCTATTTGACTATTTAAAGATATCCTAAACGCAACACTCTAAATCCAGTTCCTGGATGTGGCATATGCCCCCAGATAAAGACAAATCCATTCTCGTACTATTCCCTTGAAGAACCATCGTGTTTGAAAACTCTTCTTCCATCCTTCTCAATGAAAGTTGGTAGATGAAATTACGGCTCAGATATCAGCAGCAACGGGAGACTTTCCCCTGGCTTGGTAAGCGCCTGTGGAAACAGTCAGATATCAGTCTCAGGGAATCGCTCTATGTAGGACGGGCTCTAAGGGAGGAAGTCAATGGGAAATTCAAATACTTCGACCACTGATATTTGCGAATTATCGGGTGAACGCAGTTTATTGACAATATATCAGCGCCAAAATCCATGCAAATTTCAGCATCATCCAGGTCTCTGTTAACCTGAAAGAACAGGGATTGCTGTCTGGGCCATATATTGAGGCGTCTGCCATACGATATTGTCTCCATTGCACAGTGAACGTCAGCCGATACTTGGAGAGCACCGGAAAATGAGCGCACAAGTTAACACCTGAAGGAATATTGTCAAAGCTGGCGTTGAAATCTCTCTGAGCCGGAAGTTTTTGAGTAGAAACAGTGAAAGATAGACTGACTGAATATTGGGGAGCAAAGTGCGCGTAATCGACGTGGAAACCAGCGATACGGGACGTGAATGCAGCATGTCATGCTAACAGATGTAACCGCAATATCTGGTATTCAAAATAGGGCACAGCACTGCAGCAGGTGATCAACATAATATCGCACAGCACCGACGGTACGCTGATGTAGTGCAATGAAACCAGTTGTTTCAGGTATTTAAACACCCAAAGTAGATTGTTTTGCATAATACAAAGGGAACAACGGCTTTTAAAATGCCGCGGGTAATGAGTAAATTATTGCACTATTAGGTAGAGTAATACAAGATTCGTCTTAATATACATGTGCTCAAGTCAATCATCATGGAGCCTGGCCAACGTTAAATGGTCCTCCAATGAATTAAAACCAATGGAAAAAAGAAACACGTTGTCAAAATTGTGACCGGAGGAACGCAATCCAAAGTAGTACCAGCATTCAGTTGAGAATGGTGGAGCCAATCTACTGAGTATTTTCCACGGATAAAGCTGAATCAGTTTGGTATAGGCCTGGTAGCTGCACCCCATGAATAAAAAGAAGCTTGAAGAGGTGCGCCACATTTAGGTTTCGTTGAGTACAAGCGTTTCAAATCCGTAACTGTGAGACAAAGAGTTATAAATTGAGGCCAGGAAACTTTCAGTACCTTATGCGCATAAGTGTACTGATAAGAGTACATTCGCTTGCCATTTATATCGTCGTGAATGGTAGGGACGATCTTCAGAACGTACTCGAACGAGAATCCGGGACCTAAAAGTATTTAGCGCAACACAGGTGAAACAGGACGCCTATTCGCCATTCATACCCAACATTTCCTTACGCTCATACGACCTCAGAGCGTCGAAACTTCCGATCTTCATTTTGTCCTACAAGGTTCGTCATAAAACGTCATATTACTGGCTACAATTATTACCGTAGGGTCATCGCCAAATCTTATAGAATGAATGATGTGCCGCATGTCCGGATTGCTAGGCTGCTTTTCAGAGGAATGAGTCGAAAGGTGAAAATTTCCCGGTACCTTCCGTTAATTAAAATTCAACCTAATTTGCATTTGCACGTTTTGTTTCTTCAGTTTATTTACCTTATTGATGCTAAATCTTGCTTCCAGTCTGCAACCGTTACTCTTTTCGATTGGAACTTTTCTCACGTTTTCTATAAAGCCTACTTCGTGCCGGCCTAATTCGTCCTGAATATCCAGACCAAGGTCTAAAAAAGAAATACGATGGTTAGTACTTCAACGGACATTACAAGTTTCAAGTATAAGGCTCTGAGGTGAAGACTGAAATGACTTACTGGCACTTGCTTATTATGTAACTTGCGATAAAAAATAAGACTGCTTGTGAGCGCTGTCCAAACAGAAAACTCTGATAAACGGAGGATTGAAGAGATGCGTAAACCAACCTGCACGGCTTTATAACTTTAGGTTAGAATCCAAGATCTAGATCTTACACCAATGCGACTGTAGACAATGATTCATAGAAGCCATTACACCAGGTTGATGATCAAGGTTCAACGGGAATCGAAATGGAAAATGCCTGTGACCTTTCAAACCGTCATTGGAAGATGAACCCTACATGGCTAAAAGACAATGATCCTTATTACTAGATCAGGTAGGATATCACTTTTGCATGTCTCGTCCGAAAATTGGATTACAACGTGGCTGATATCGAGGATGCCACTCGGGAATCTATCGGCAGAAATTTGACACCCGAAGTCATGTTATATAAAATCACTACAAAATTGATGAGACCTTTGGATCGTGCCATCGACGCGGTGAACAAAGGTTGATTTTAACAGAATGGTAAGGAAACAAAAAACAACGATATGCCTACACTCGCAAGACAGCTGCAGCATTGAAACGTTGGCAGTGACACTTATGTGAGAGTCGGTGCGGGCGTCGTCGACAAACAGTTCGCTGACCCTAAAATTAATTAATTCGTTGATGAGTTAACGAAAAAAACTCAGGAAGTTCGGTTAACTTACGTTTCCACTGTTATGAAGCCGACCAGCTCAGACAAAAACAACAACAATATGAACATGACACAGCAGATAGAAATGATCGCTCCGGTGATCGTCGGCTGTGTGAGGTCCTTTGGAACTTTTCGATAAATATCGAACCTAGTGCACGTAAATCATTATCAAGTTATTAACTTAATCAAACTGCTGAACCGATACCTCGTGATATCCAGCTTCATAACAGGATCCAAAAACCAACAGCACTTCAGTCGATAAACACAGACTCGTCGAAGCTGCTTCAAACAGGAGGCAAATCAGTCGAATATTCCCTTTCCGTGTTGCTACAGTTTGCCTTCTCAAAGAAAACATTCACAGCTACAGGTATATTATTGCGGCATTCAGCCTGCACTAGTAAGAAATATAAGAATTATGTAACAGCACAAGTCAGTCCTCGAAATCTCCTGTTATGATGTTCACATCCGCCATGCACGTATAAATTACAACATGACTTGGTAAGTCAATTCTTAAGCTTAAAATACGGAAAACATTTTAAATATACTTTTATTACTAAGTCGCATTACGAGCAGCCAAATTGACGGGGCTCAGTTTCCTAATCCACTCCGAAAGTGAATACCACTAATAAGTGACAGCGATCACAGAAACCACGAAATACCTAAACTTCTGTCCTCACAAATCAAAGAAGAGAGATAAAGGAAGATGGATATCAATATAATTAATGTCAACGATTCGCACAGAGTACGAGACGCGATAAAAGCCGACAACGTGTACAGCGCTGGACCCGAAACCGACACGAACGGTCACGCGTCTTGCTTAACTGTAAGGATGATAAATGAGTACCACTCCGTCGGAAACTAACGGAAGACACCACACTCTGCTGGCCACATAACTGTTGTGGATTCTGCTTTTAAAATAAGCTGATCTCGTAGCTGATTGCATATGCAGGTTAGCGCCCCACCATTAAATTAATTGAAAGAAGAGTGTTAGAAATATAAGACCGATATTCGAAGAAATACAGATTTGCTCTGATGACACGATTCAGATATCACCCTGGTCTGGGACTGAATCTCGGAATCAAGACTTATGATACATTGCTCTGTATACAGCGGGTATTCCTTCTCATGACGCGGTCAGATATACAGTTTTCACATGCAAATATTTCTGAACGTGAAAGCAGTTAAATGTCCCATTCGACGCTTTCGAAGTCTATTCAGAATATAGTCATTAGTCAGAGTAACTCCACCATATTTCAAACGCCTCCGTACATAATTTTATTTTTAAAAATAATTTTATCCAACGGGATAATGTCGTCACCATTTCTTTGCTCACAGACGCCAGCTAGATTATATAAAAATGCGTCATTGTGACATTTCAGTATAGCTATTTCTGTCTCACACAAGTTTTGATAGAACAATGGTCTAATCACCAATAATATCAGTATATTACTAATCAGCATTCGACGTCATAGTCGGACTCCCTCAGTTCACTAGTAGAAAGTGAAATCACAGATCCTCTTTGCAGAAATCTGTATCTGCCGTTCCGCATCGGTATCTGGTCTCTAACCTATGGGGATGTAATCTAATGGCATCGTCTTAAAACTGAATTTCAAGCTCCAGACTAAGTCGGTGGTTCCCTATAACATTAACATCAATGAATTTCCTTCTATGCCAGTCGTCACCTCATATACAAAGCAAGCCTGACAAATGAAGCCACGTTTGCAAACAAATTATATAGTACAAGTGAATCTAAATCATTGTGAACCTTTTACGATTCTGGCTCCGAGAGTAGCACAAAACGAAATATCATTTTCTGCAGCCACAGTACAGAATATTCTATGAAAGGATGCTTCAACCAGCTCTTTACGCAACAAAAGCAAAGGAGCAGTGTAGCAATGACGAAAAACCGACGTTGCCTCTTATTAGATTAGCCATTACGATGAGCACTCGATATAAATTACAACTAGCACAGGTAGACAACTTCAATTTTAAATTTATCCTATTCATCAAAATGATTAACTATATATGCAAAAACGATATTCTCAATTCGAGATACCCTTTACAGAATGACGCAGTGTATTAAATTTTAAATACATATTCTACAACGATTTATCTTATTCGATTCATGTTCAAGGCCAAAAATAAAAAAAAAATTATATTATGGCTCAGCGAAGAAATACATCTTAAATTGGAAGAATATGTAGGTAATAAAATAAATGAAACTCGATACGTTCCGGAAAGACACCTCTCGAGTATTCCAACAAAATTACCGCATAAAGGACTCAAGTGTTCAAAGGTGCTGTTATGCACGCCGAGTTGAAATTTTGAAGTTAATCAAATCAAAACTAAATGAAGCACTCATTAAACTAAATATGTAATAAAATCTTTGAGATTTTGATAACTAATGACTGTTCCAGGAGCAGATTTCATGACGCTTCACACAGCCCCTTTCTCCTACTTGCCCACGAGAAGGCCACGTCTGCGCAGTATTTGAGCTCCTGCAATGCAAGACGCATATGACATTATTTCTTCTGCTAGTCACCTCACACTCATCACGATGTTTCAACCACCATAAACTGTTCGTCCACTTAAGACTGTCAAACAACGATTGATTCCTCAGAGACCACATTTCACGCGTATTGCAGCGCCTCTTTGCACCTGATGAACGAAACGCTCTCCGACAAAACTAGAAGCAAGGAGTGATGCAAAAACCTGGTCTTGGAGGAGCCATTCATTATTTGACATACTCGGGCGCACGAACAGATTAATATTTTAACTAATGTTTCTATACGAATACAGCTACCAGAGGTAACACTTATAGCTCAAAATATGACTCCTCTCTAAGCCAAAAGACTAATGCACTATGAAAAGTTACATCGTCAGGGAACGTCGAAAGTCCTTCAAAATTTTACTTCAACAATTTCAAGACAAAAGTAAAAAAGGTCATTCAGCCGCTTCTTCTTTCTCTGACTTGGTTGTTCTCGTGTAAACAAGTTGACTGCTGTGCTTCACCACTTGTTTAATAAGACCTGAGATGAGAAATTATTAGGCGAGAAACAGAACAAAGACATGACGGTTTTACCTTTATTGTACAGTTCTCGAAGGGCTGCCTTTGCCAACGACACTCGAACTCTTAGCCTTTCACTAAACCGAATGATAATCATGAGTGCGTTTAACACGTTCAAAAGAAGTCGACTGTACCTCACCACCGAGGGTGTGATCAGTTTAGAGTTGGCCACCTCATTGTACAGTTTGTCGTAGGTCGGTTTATCGAACAGCACCATGTTGTTTAGCTTATCACGCACCTTTCCTTTAGACCACTTCTACAAAAGAAAAATAATTTAGTTCTGTTGGCAACTGCCCGCATAATACCACACGGTTGTTGGTACATAATTATTAAGTTTGGCATATTTTTGGAGGACCATTATATTTTTAAAATTTTCTTACTGAAGATTCCAAAATATAACGCTGCCTCCTAGAGGAGCTTACATAAAACTATACCTTTCTACGTAATTGAATTTCCTTTTTCGCATTGTCCTAAAAATCACGACAGTCTACTGGCAGAATGCTTTTTCTAGTATGCATACAAGAAAGAAACGATATCTTACTACAAAATACATTCAACGACACTGTGAGATATTAAACATTTCTGAGAAGGATGAAATACAGAGAGATGGGAGAATACCAACAACGGTTTCAGTTTGACTAAAAGTTGCATACTGGGCGTACTGCTACTTCCACAGTTTTATACGTAAGGAGAACGACTGCATCAGATGTTTACTTAAGTCCCTCACCTAACAAAACAGATAAGACTTGTAAGCCCGAATAAGAGAGGCAATACCTGAGTCGCAAATGGCGCAAAGAACGTGGAACGTTGATGACGACTACACGGAAAGTCTCTGCCGCATTGTGATGCAACAACAGAACGGTCGAAATGAGAAACCGCTCATGGATGATTCGATATCGAACACGAGCATTTCATAAATTCTCAGTATTGTTTATCATCGGGAAACTAATCGGCAATGACGAGGTTGAGGTGTTGAAAATGAAACTTGAATCGTTAGTCACATCATCGAGGAACGGCTCTTCTTTGCTGATTCGCTGTCGCTTTGTTAGTGTACAGATGCAATTTGGAGTGCTAGATATGTTCGGTTTGCACTGAAGCTTTTTAAAGTTAACTTAAACCAATAAAACTTTTTCGCAAGTTCAGCAACGTGTAAAAGGCCATGAGAATGTAGTAATAATAATAATTTAAAACCTTACATCTACTTTTGCATTATGAATTAAAATGCCCATCTATTTAACTTCCTGCTCCAGCATTCAGAAATAATATGCCATAAGATCTGATCTTCATAACAGCAGTCATACTGTCAACTTCGCTTCATCGTCTATCGGAGGAACACATGACCAGAGCGACCATTCCAGAGCCCGTTTCTTCACAATCCATTCATGCCCTACCAAAGTCTGTTCGACAGATTCCTCTATGGATAGAGGAAATGACATAGTCGTGTTCCGCCATCGTTTATCAAAACCATGCACCGCAGCTGTCGCTGGTTCCACTCTAAATATAGTTTATGCCACTGATGGTAATGTTCTGCATAAAAACCATCTTCTTGGTTTTGTCGGAGCGAGCAGACAAAGATCAAAGCAAGGAATTGTAAGGCAGTGTAGAGTACGGTAGGGCTTCTTCTTACATAGGCGATAAGGTAGCCGTGAAGGCCTGGTGGCCCTTGACCCCGACACGGTGGCTTTGACGAATCATAATAAAGTCCTGACTTACTGTCGCGACCACTAAATAATTAGGAAATGGCTGCCACTGTTCAGCCAGTTGGCAAATGAACTGGATCCTCCGTGGAAACCAATGGCGATCACTGATGCACAGGTAGGCACCTGCTCACATTGAAGTAATGTAGGTGCTCTAACGCGCTCTACGTCTCTCTTGGTGAAATAAAGCAGGGTATAAAAGGACAGCCCTACAATAGAAATATAAAACTGAAACTAGTGCAATTGGGGTTCGGCCCCTAAGTTGTCGAAGCGGTGGCATGAAGACATCCTGGTGCCTAGCACACACTTCATGATGACGGCAAAGTTGTTCGATGTGCATAGAATAATGATAATGTTTAGGGGCCCAATTAACGCTGATCCTAAAGAAATAACCGATTAAACCCGGTAGTACACTAAAAGTAACATAAAATGAAATTAAAATTCTGTGCTTCAAACTGCGCGCTATACTGAACATCCGCAACATCGGAAACTTTAATATTAAATAACGTCATTTTTAATCTTACCCAAACAATTTATATGGATAAATAAATAAAACGTTAAATACAGCTAAGATCTATACAGACAATACTTTGTATGCTGTGCATGACATCAAGTTAATAAATCTTCTGATTCAATGGTTAGCAGCAAAAATCGAGATCGAAGAATTACAAGTAAAAAAAAAACGCGGAACCAAATTTGGGATTTTTAAATACAGAATGAATTAAATGTATGGCATATCCAAATGTTGACGAAAATTTAAACAAAGCTTAGTCGCGCCCCCATTCTGGAATATCATTCTCTGACATCAATACCTTACGTTTCACACATTTCAGAAAAAAACCAGATTTACGGAACAAACGAGAGCCATTAGGTACAATAACTGATTGTCAGGTTTCGTCACCTGTGCCATGGCAAATAGTCGTAACTTTAACAGCGATGTCATGGTGGTTCGGTGGTAGGTTAACATCGCAACCAAATGAAATAGCTAATTCCGGAGTATAACATCAAAGCCAGCAGAAACAAGAACTATAACGGTTGCGTGGCAGGCTTCATTGACATTTCCGAGGTGTAGAAGTAGAAGTTAATCTCTTTCCACAAGTATCAACTTACTCAGGTATATTTTTCAGTCTTGTTCATTCCCCTACGAGCCGATTCCAACTTGGTGGGAATAAAGGAATACTTCAAAATAAAATGTTTTCGTGTTTTTCATGCTGCCAAGCATGGAATCAGAGGACACATTAGCTTCTTTAAAGTAAACAGTTAATCAAATTTTGGCATCACTTTATTAAATATGCAAAAATGCCAATACGATGCACTAACCTTCTTTTTTGCCTTTCCTCCTCCTTCCTTTCTTTGTTTAGGCGCAGCTTTAGGCGCCTTGTTGTCCTTGCCTCCTTTAGTTTGCTTCGGAGGCTAGAAGATTTAAATAATTAATTTTTTATAACAAACATTAAATCAATTACCATTAGATCCGCTTAAGGAGCGTTGGCTATAAATCTAAAAATATACGTGTAAAAAATAGTGAAAAACGTAACAATATCTATTTGGAATGTGATATTATTATGTGCCCTTTTTAAGAATGACTTAGAAGGAACTTCGACATTTTTTTCAACAAAACAATGGCTTGTGGTATACCACACTTCGCGGGAGTATAATGATAATAACAACAAAAAAACAGCAGAAAAAATCAGAAGCCAAGTCTTACATATATGATTGCTACTAACATTTTGGAAGCGATGACTAACAAATATCGTGCTTTCGTGATTTCAGCGCTAATGAGTACGCATGTTCAGCAGTGGAGAAAAACCAAGTAAAAATTAACATTAAACTTGCTACCGTGCGCTAAATTATTGCCAGTTATTAGGGGGATGATGGCGAATAGCAAACTCAACGCGCAGCATCAGACAGAATGACGGTGTCTTGTATGCTTCAGCATGACTGCACAAATACAACAATGCTGTTTCTATTATTTGCTGGTCTGCAATCCGCTACCCGCTTTTTATTTGGTTACGCCGAAGCACAGTGCATTGAAACCCTTGTTCAAGTGAATTAGCCGTCAATAACAGAAAATTAACACCTCCAGTTGGGTTTGAACCTGGAACCTGCAAAGTGCAAAGAAAACTAACTACTGACCGATGATGCCACTACCTCGGAACGAAAAACAAATAACCTATTTGCAAGACATTAGGAAAACCGGAGGAACAGAACCTCATTCTGCGAAGACGCTTCTAATCGCAATGTTTCAGGAGGTGAGGTCTTTTGCACACACTTTCGTCCATGCTCTGTGGTGACAGCAAAACTGGTGGACATATAAACAAGAAATTTTCTCTGCTTCAACTTCAGCATCTTCATTATCATTTTATTACTCAGCTTATTTTCCTCATCTTGAATAACAGCCTCAAAAACTACTGATATCCTGTGACCGAATCCCTACTGCCGGGAACTGTCTTTCGTCAAAATCCTTATATCATTCAAGTTTGTTTTACTATTCAAGTTGAAATTAAACGGATCATGCATGTGCCTTCTGCCGCGTCAAGCCTAGCTTATGACACTAAGGAATCTCTCCTCCTATAATGCTTACCTGCAGGATAATTCCTAGCATGACACTGTCTACGATATACAAGGTGCCAAATGCTTTACTGTATATGCATATCAAGTAAATAATAAAAAATACAATAAACAATAAAAAACAGAGCTTATCAGTGTTAGAATATCGGTCTTCCCTAACTTTTATGATTAGGCCATTCGGCGCCCTTATTCTCATATTGTTGAGGTACGGTGCTGATCTCCGT